GAAGAGAATCTTCTAGACCAAGTAAGTCCACGGAGGAGGAGGACGGGGGATGTTGTTGTTGGTAATCCTCAGTGAATTCAATGATAAGAATGACAACTAGTGAGTGACAGGTGACAGTACTCTGACATGGAAGTTATGATGCTCTGTGGTCTTTAGGAACGAAGAAGGTGTCGTCACATTGGAGCTTACATCAAAAATATCACTAGATACGGCCATAACAAAGCTTTATATCATGCTTAACTTTTGAAGGAGAATATGGCAATGTGCCCTTACACATGCTTCCGTACGTAATCTGATAAGGAACTGAGGAAGTCGGACTTCACTTTTTATATTGGTATGCTCCTCTTGTAAGATTGACTTGGACCTCAAGGACAACAGAACGGATTACATCAGCTAGCACTATGAATCTTGAGGCTTATCAATCTCCATGGTTTCAAGGGCATTACTGAAGAAGCCTTTTCTGGGATTCATAAATCGATGTTATGCTCTGTTCATGAGCTTTGTGGTGTATCCGATCTACTCATAGAATCCTGCGGATAGCATAGCAGTGAAAGAAGGTCATTTTATTTTAGAATATTGTATTTTATTTGTGGAGATCAGGGTTTCTTCACTGATAGCCTTCTCGCTCAGTCCCTACCAACTTGAGCTTTTGGATCGTATTTTGCCGGAGACACTTAATCTTTGTGATGAACTCTGTTCGCAGATTGCATCGAAAGAAAAAGCTATTTATTCTAGCGTAATGAATAGAAAATGCATTTTCTATGAAAATTTTATGACAGAGGCACTTCTACAGTTACTGTACTTTACCCTACTTATCAGAACTGAATAGAAATGGCTACGAGGAGGAAATCCTTTAGCTAGATGGAGCCGCTTACAAGTTCGAGATCAGGCGGAACATATCAATCCTGTCATGAGAAGAGAAGAGATGGTGACAGATATACAAGAAGAACAGTCCAGTAGGCTCCTCGTAGGATCTTCAGGATCTATAATTGAGCCTGCTACGAGATGGAACGATCGCGTAAAATCGCTGCGAATATAGCCGCACGGTTTCTCATATCGTCACCCTTGTCGGGTTCTGAGCCTACCTTTCATGGTGATGGTGAAAGTCAGATGCGAATGGTTTGTTTCTGGGGCTCGCACGTGTATGAAGACGAGCCGTGTACGTATGTAAGTAAGTAAGTAAGTATAGGATCAGGTGGAATTTCTTGACTTCTGGTTCCTGAGTGTTCAGATATTGATCTTGAATTTTATGGAGATGGGGACCAGGTATAGGAAAAAATGACAGGCAAGAATATGAAAAATTTAGATACCACTTGATAACTGAGATCCGTCATGATTTTGTAGAGNTTCTTAAGGAGTGAGACCCACTAGAAGTGTTGTTGAGCAGTGGCACAAAAACGTTACCCATGAATTGCTCGTAGCGGTTTTATGGCGTCCATAGAGCAACCATAACGGCCATGAATGCATTTTCGATCTGGGGCGTGACAACTTACCCATTACTAGGCCCTAACACCGTATTTTTCCCCCCACATGTTGTTGTCGGTGGTAGCGAAAGTTGGTAGGGCATAGTGTCATTCATATATGAGTAACGAAGTAAGAAGGAGGTGGCCAGAGATATGTCAAGAAGAATTCGACTAGGGACGACGAGGGCGCGATCCATCCTGTTTTCTCTAGCAGCCCTTCTTTGGAAGGCGGACGCCTCGAGCGAAGTCGCAATTTCACATCTTTGCATTCTAATGGGACTGCCCCTTCCCCGGCTCAAAAGTGTTCGAAGAAGAAGTTCATCAATTCCACAATCCAGTTCAATAAGAGGCTTATAATAGATAGATTGCCCTTCGCTCATTTCTAAGGGACCGAAGGGGATAAAGGAAGCCATGGAACCGTAAATAGCATGAAATTCGAAGTGGGGGGTCAGCGGAGGGATACCTTCAAAGGATGCCGGTGTCGGGCTCCGAGTTGCAGGAGGAGAGGCTCCAGCCAGTCCAAGTGGATCAACGCCATGAATGACTCAGCCGTCCTCTGGATTGTCCCTTTTTGAGTACCTTAGTACTTCAAAAGTTCGTTCGTAGTTATTCAATTACTATTTTTAGATATGATTGAAAATGAAGCTGGAGGAAGGAAAAAAAGCCGAATGTTTGAAGCAAATCCTTTACAAACGGCATGTGGCAACGACTAACGAACCCCTTCAGAAATCGTGCAAAAAAAGGTCAATGTTGTCGTCGTCTGACACTGCGTAGGCCGCTGACCTCATGATGGTGAATATCGAATCAAACTATCTTTCAAAAAGGATGGACGAATGGATGCAAAGGGTACGAAGTCATAAAGGGATACTAATCAAATTATTCTCCTTCATAAGTAATAAGCTGGTGCCCAACGAGATCGCGAAAAATGGGTTCGCTTCTCTGATCATTAACTCAGAAGGGAACTAATTAGGTACTGGAAAAGTCTGTGGTTATGCCGTTTTTATTATGGTGGACTCTTCCATATCAATGCTATTGTTCATTCATCTAATAGCTTGGAATCTCAGATTCTTACGAAAAATTGTTTTGTTGGGTTGTTTGTTTTCCCGAAACTTCCTTAATAATCACAATTTCATGGAATTCCCCCATTCCACTTCCATTCCCAGTCAACCTTTCAAGAATAGTGATGATGCTTTGATGAAGATGATGCTTTTTCAGAGGTTACACACAAATACTTATTTTGATGATACCAATTATTGTTGTTTATTGTTTATTGTTTAGTATGTACGTCAGTTGCCATGCCGGCATAAAAACTCAAATTAAAAAGATTAATTTCCATAACAAGCCAAAAAAAGTGGGGAACTCAGCCAAGGATACCTAACCACCATCTAGTCATCATTTCAGGATACCCAGATGCTGAGCATTGCGAACTAGCGAGAATGAGTCAGAAAGCTTGGGTGTAGTACAAGACGAGGGCTAGAGAACTGACACAGGGGGGGGGGGGGGGGGGAGGACCAATTTCGAAAATTGTGAAACAATGATCCTGTAGCAACAATAAAATGTGTACACCGAGGGTATCAAAGGCATAACCTTAAGCAACAGGCGCTGTTAGCGTTGAAGCAAGAAAGCAGTGGCTCGGGTTGGGAGCCCACATCAGCCGGCTGTGATTCACTTCGCCACATCCGGGGTAATAGGAACTTGCCAAAACTCCGAGACACGGGTTTACCGGCCACCCATCTACATGGTCAATATAGATTGAATTGGATATCAGTTAAGTAAGGGCACCACAGCGTAATGCACCTGCCTGATATCGTCCTTAAACTCTACCGCCTCGAACCAGGTGCTACCGACATGAACTAATCTTCGTTGTTCTAGTAACTGCTGCTATTTCGCCGCAGTACACAATCCGAGAGTCTCATAGGATTGGCAAGTTGTGGTCAAAACATTAGCCTCAGATGGGATTCGAATCCCGTACTTGTGCATCCCCTTGCCGGGCTCTTTATCCCTTACTCTACTGACTACACAGATCTTTCTTTTTCAGTGAGACCCTTCCCAACCATAATCTTCTGAACATCTTGGAATTTTTGGTTTTTTGTATACTCGAGTATTTTATTAAGGAGAAAATACGGCATGAAAATCCAGTATTCTTTTTACAAGAATTTTTTTGCAAAACTGTTTTAAATGCAATAGACAGTTTTAGTGCTGAAGCTCTTCCTCAATTCAGAGGCTCACTGTTTCGACGCAATCGTCTTCTTCAGAGACCATGGCTTAATTCGAGATTATACGCATGTCTTACAAGCGCCCAATTCCATTAAGCCAATGCGACGACGTACTCCAACCCCCAAATTTGAAAGACGACACACCAAGTTTCTACCGCTGTAGCGGACAAAAATTCGCTGCCGCTACTTTGAGCCACTAGCCAGTGGAACCTTCAAAACTGCGTCTTCCAGGTTCTCCCTCATGTTTGTCAAAGAGGATTGGACTGACGTCCAAAACACCTCGTTCAGGCTTCTGGAGAAGATGTTTGCTTTAAAAGGCTAGGCCGTTGATAAATAGATGCACCTTAAGACCTGGAACACAGGAGTATACCGCCAACAAATACACTAAGGTTAGAACAAGAGAGGATTTAGGGTGAAATTTTGTAATTCAGTTAAATTCTTAGATATTCGCGGTACGAAATTGCAGACATTTGCCAATCTTGTGCTTTTATTGTAACAAAGAAGTCTCGGAAACGACAAAAGCACTGATCCTTCGCAGTCCATCATTCACGATCATCTATGGAAGTGGGATAAACGAGCTTGAAAAAGAAAAAAAGACGAAAGCACTGCACGGACTCATTGGATGTCACCTGTACGGGCTGATTCAACAAGAAGAAGACAAGCACTTTCCTAAGCGGATAGTAACTGAGGATAAGAAGGGGATTGCCGGGAATAATGTAATGAGCAAAAGGTCATATCTCTGACGATGGTGACTTGTGTCAAACGACGTTCAAACCAGGCACTTATCAAGGAATCTTCCCCCCTTGCCATGGCTGACAGTGAATTATTGCTGCTTTCTGATGAAGAAGCTGATGAATAATTCACTTGTACTGTCTACTACTTAACAACTGCGAACAATGAGTAGTTGAAACAGATTCGTCATCCAGAGACATCCCGAAAGCTAGCTAGACATGAAGGTGTAGTCTTCCATCACGAATACGTGCGACCACATAGAAATTTGGCCACCCGTCAAAATCTATTGTTATGGTGGCACACCTAACGTACTGGACTGATCTTTCGCCTATGGAATTATTCCTCCTTTGTTGCCCGCAGATCCTTTTCGGGGTATGACGTTCCTTTCAGTTTGGGCTTGAGTGAGCACCTTTGTCTGTTTTTTGCAGATAAACGCAAAATTACGAAAATTATAAGAAGAAGGCGGAGGGTCATCGTCCAACAAAACAATCAAAGTCTGAATGAACGTTTGTGGTGCTCATATGAATGTATCAGCCCAGTTGAAAGGATTCAGAATATACGGCACGGCTTATCCAAACAGGCTTGGTAGATGAGTGAGGAAGTGAGGAGAATTCTACTGCATCGAGGTGAGGGAAGATTCACATCTTTACCAGGAAACGAGTACGTGCGTGTTCAGGTGATTCCTCTTGGCATAGAACACGCGATCGACAAAAACCTCCTGATGAAGAGTTGCTCAGCGATTTCCGGATACTCGGAAAGATCCTATCGTGAACGCTCTTCAAATGAAGACTTGTCGAGTGAGTGGCAGGTGTGTGACTTATTAGTTAGGTCTGACTGTTACCTTCGAGAATGAGGTCCGACTCATGACTTGAATAAGACATCAGTTTTTTAGGACAGATAGCTACCAATAGCTTCACTGACACGAGAACTCGTGGAATCTGGGCGAAATGGGACTATAATGGTCTCGTTTGGTCTGGTGCCAGTAGTATACGTGCTGTGAAATCGCTTTTTGCCCAGAACTCAGTCGAAGAGCAGCAATTGTAGAGCATTTCATAGCTTGCACGACTCACTTACTCAGTCAGTAGTGCCCACTTCTGTCGGTTCCACTGTACCATAAACAATTCATAGGTAACTTAGAGAAAAAAGTAGGACGGAAGTTGATGAACTGAATTCCCTGGCTTTTTCTCCTCTTGGAATTTCTGCTTTCCATCTCAGCGCTGGATGTACAATAATGCTTAGCTACTTACAGCTTTGCGGTTCAATTCCGATGCTGTACGTGTGAGTGTATTAAGCAGAACTAGAAAGTAATCTGAGTCCCATGGAAGACCTGAGTTTTGCCCGTATTTTGTGAAATCATCGGTGGTTGGGGAGTAGCCAGCAATGAAAGGTATCTGTGAAGACTAAATAAGGGTCGGTGGAGCTAATAAACGTGGGTGAGTGCTATGGGGAATCGCCCACAGTAGTTCCCTTTCCTTACCCTCCCTCATGACCTCTTCAGCAACACATCTAGGCCCCTTCCTATTCTAGTGCACTAGTAACTTCACAGTGCCTCTGTCAGAGGAAGATTTTGCCTATGAATACCACCCCGTGATGCTTATGAATACTACCCCGTGATATCCAACGATTGTAGAAGAACAGTTTGGTACTAATTGAATTGGCAGCTCTAGAAGAAAATTCTGGACGGGAAGAAGCAGGGCGAGGATGTATCTATCAGGAAATTAGATGGTGAAGCTTCAGAAACCATAACTAGCTTAGTTCTACAGTGTGACATTCCTACCATTTTGTACTTTGCGTAACTTTTATGGGTTCGTAAAAGAGTGAATGGCTATATATTCTTTTTGTAATCATCGCCCGAGTTTGCTTTTGCCATGTAAAACGGTTGTAAATCAATTTCATATGAATGCCTTATTAAGATTGAGATAAGACTTTAAAAACATCATGAGTACTTGAAAGGTAGACTTGCAATTCCGAGTTTCAATAATGCAAAACATCTGCTCTGGAGATTTATTCCTTTCTCATTATTACAGGTGTGACCTTCTGAGCATGTCTGAGTGACGTTTTCAAAGATTTCCATGTTGCATGGGCAAGTTAAAAGAGTTTCAGACAATATCGATTAGCTAAACGGAATTTATGATTCCTTCAATATTTACGGAAACATTGAATTATTGAAAGGAAAACAAAAAGGGTAGGACGGAAGTGGAAATAAGCCAGACCTCAGAGATCATGAGAATAACTGTGAATGACCGCTGGCTGCGGCTATCACGGTCACGGGTTCGAATCCCAACTCAGGAACGACTGATAACAACAAAAGGTGGATTAAGGAAAACAAGAGCGATTTGTTCCGTTACTCATGGGACGTGAATTGATTAATTTTAAACTTTGGTCACCTTAAACGTAGTGGGATCGTAGGTAGATTTTTTAAAAAGCACAAGAAGCGAAAGTGATGTCTCTGAATGGAGCGCTTTATTTTCGGGAATGGGGCAACCTTCCTGGCAATCGGAATTCAAGATAAAACGAGTGATTTGAGAAGAGAAGAGGCAAAGGTTTAGCGAAAATTCAGGCATAGCTCAAGGAAAGAATGCTTAGCTTAAGCACCATTTCCTTACTGTAATATTATGTAGAATTGTTGTTTGGGATGTTTTCTTCCTTCCACATCGTTACAACAAAATTGTTAGAAGTTATGCGTCATTATTCTTATCAATTCTGACACACCATGACGATACTATCATGTTTGAGATTTGAAAGATTTCTAATAAAAATATCTCAGGAAACCGGTAAAAACGTACGTCTTGGGTAAGCTTTCCGAAAATAACAGAGCTTCAAACGATGTAGCCTTAGCAGTCAGAAATAACAACGAGAAACTTGGACGAGAAGTCTCAGTTTATAGATCAGCTTAGTGAAGGCTTTTCGTCTATAAACTCAGGGTCTCAATGACGAATTTCACTCTGAGCTTTCAGCTGTTTATAATGAACGAGAAACTTTAGATTTCAATTGTCCGACAGAAAACTCAAGAAAGAGGAGAGAAGAACTCAACCATATCGAATTCATGCGCTACGTTGCTAACATATTTACACTCTAGAAAAAGCACAACAACTTATCTAACCACTCATTGCTACTCCTTGTTCAACGTATTTAGTAGATAACAATAGGACTCTATCGGAATTCGCTAGCCAAAGTGAAGCGGAGTAGTGCACTCAGTCAAGGGTATCACGCTATCCCAAGAAAATTCATAGTCATACCTCTGGGTTTTCTGTTGTTCACAGCTGGTTAGTCTTGAATAATACATAATTCCCTTATGCAGGTGAAAACTTTGAAAGTTAGCGAGCGCGTTCATGTGTACGGGCATGTAGCCTTCTCGAAACCTATTCAAATCTTCCCAATAGTCTGTTAGTAGTCGCTGAAACACCGTGGATGTAGGTAAGGTAAACAAGCAAAAAGTAGGGTCACTTCGGTCTCCGAAATACAATTTTTTTCAGTTTCGATGAAAAATTTGGAGAATTGCTATGAGTGATGTGGCAGCGTGTAGGATATGGTAGGAAGTCAAATTAGAAGGTGTTCATGTAGGTAAACAGATCGTTTCTAGAAGTACTCTTAGTTCAAACCTCTAAGCTATTATACTTCAGCAGGTTTTTCTAGAATTAAATACCCAAAAGAAATGGATTGGAAACGACTAATCAAAAGCTTTCTGGATGTTTCGTTCATATGATTGAGTCCCGGTGCTACAGATGGAACGCACCTCAGGTCGAGTATGCTCTTTTCAGACCCTGGCTATCTATGGGTCATGTTCAAGATCGACTCACTGGTTTAAATTTATTATAAACAGGGTCTTCTTCCAGCAACACATTCATGTCCTTTAGCTGACGCTCTTCCATGGGCTTACCATTGGCTTCGATGGGCTGACCATCAGCTCTTATGATAGTTTCCAGAAATAACGTTGGGCCCAAGGAGATGGGGGGAGATAGGAAAATGTGAACATAGAAATCTTTATCGCGCTAGTATGTACTAATATATAGTAGGTGTAGACGTGTTTTCTTTGATTCCACTGCGTATTACTGAGAATGAAGGGCGGATTTGGTGTAGTGGCAAGTGGTGCACTATATCACACGCACGGTCAGGGGTTTGAATCTCGGGTCGATGCCCGCCCAGGCCAACCAAGCCTCCCATCCCTCCGGGGTCGGTGAATTGGTACCAGACTCGTCTGGGAGTATAAAAGCACTGACTTGTAAATCGGCTGGCCACCGCAAGTCATTGTATAGGCCACATACGCACTCATTACGCCACTACGATACTGAATGGAAGTCGAGTGCGGGGGCGCATCCCTCAGACGGGATTGATTAACGCCACAAACTTTATCCTTTATCCTTTATCCTTATTACTGAGAATTCCATTAAAGGACTGATTCGAAACGGAAGAAAGAAGTTTGTACGAAGTAAGAAAATATTGACTCGAGATAGGGTAACGCATCACGCAGTATGCCAAGGTTTTCCATAAATTTCTCACTCTTTTAAGGTTCGTAGAGACATCTACTACAGGTAAATGAGTGAAATCTTCAAATCGATCTGATAAATCTGACAAATACCGACAGTATGGCATGACTCCAAGCAAGTTGATGAGTGGAATTTTGGGCCCTTGAATCTTGGGCTATGTGGGAGACTCGTCTAAAGTCCAAACAAGTGAGTTTGAAACATCAGCATGGCTTCTTTTATCATTATCCGCTACTAGATATTGCGCCAGAACTCCAAGAGAATAATTCATTGTGATACTGTCCTGTCGGAACTTTTTGACAGAATTCGGACTGGACTAGCTTATGGGTTAAAGTCTTTAAAGTTGCTCATTCTCTGTTTGGGATGCCTCCTCACATCCGACTCTCAGTCAGAATCGTAGGAAAGGTTTGAATCGTGTGTGCCCTTTTCAATGAAGGGCGGTGGCCAGCCGATGTTAGAGTCAGTGCTAATCTCATACCAGACGATTCTTTTACCGATTAACCCTGCAGGTTGGAAGGCTTGGTGGATTTAGGCAGATGCCGTTCCAAGACTTGACCCCTGGGCCATCTGTGGTATAGTGGTAGTGCACCGCTCACCACCTCTGCCCTATCAAACCCATTTAGTTGGAGCAATCTATGATACTAATGCTTCCCCTTCACTCGCATACCTGTATGATGCCACCATCGACTCGACGTCCGTTGAAAATGTCGTGCTAGAATTTTTTCTACGAACTTCCGTTAGAGCGCATATGTACATTGATTAGACATCCACGCAACTTCGTAGAACTCAACAAGCCATTTACAACGTTTCCTGATAACCTCAGAGTTCCGAGGGTCACAACCTGCATTTCCAAAAAAGGTGAAGACAAAGATGTATTAAATGCACAGCCCAAAACAGTCTTATAACTTCTACGTTGCCAATACAACGGCCAAAAAGTCCACCACAAAAGCTCAATGGTTTTACGAACTTGGTACAACAGTAATCTGGTGAACAGACTTCGATTACCACGAGTTCGAAGTTTTTTTCACCTGACGTCCTTCTACGTTGCCAGGATATTCGGATAACTTCCAGGCGGCAAGCACTCTCAAGCAAGCATGGTTACGAATGTTTGTGCAGGATGAGGGGAGACCATGTAGGGGTAGCCAATGTCAGGAGACGCATGAGTGTTTTTCTTGGATGTGGTACGTTAGGAACGAAATGGTCGCGTCGCGGTGAGAGGGACGTCGCGCGCGAAGGAATTAGCAGGATGCAGCAGTAGGTAACAAATACAAGAACAAAAGTACTAATAGTAGAATTATGCATAAAATAATGATCGCATATCGATTGAGCTGTTTGAAGAACGCTAGAGCTGTAGTAATGGCGAATGAGTGGTCCGCGACAGCCGCGTGCGGCAAACCGATAACCCTAAATCGTTCCTAACGCCTGTCTCCCGTTTTTCTTCCATGGCTACCAAGTTCTATCACACAGAAAGTACAGCAGAAGGAAAACCTATGAAAATGGTAGCATAGTACTGATAATAATTGCATGAGTGAACCAGCAATCCGTCGAGTACATGAGCTC